CAACCATGTACCAATGCAAAAATAAATAAATAGATAAATAATTAAAAAAAGAAAATTAAATTAAAAAGGTAACTGGATGCGTCATCCTACATCACTCAAGAATAAGAAAACTGGATGAATTGAGATGAGAGCCATACATTATTTCTGATACCTAAACATATTTTACTTGGACATTTAAAATATTCAGAGACGAAGCAATTATTTCTGCGAATTTCTCTTTTTGCTTTTTCCACGACTATCCAAAATCCAACAAATTTAAAACATTTTAATGTAAAACACGACACTCCCCTATTGAGTACTTTATTTGCTTTTCTTTATTTGTTTCTTTAATGACGGTATTAAAAATTATGAAATGAAAAACTATGGGTAAAACAAAATAAATAATGTACATTTTTTGTTTTTGTTTTTTTTATTTAAAAAATAAAATGAGGGCTTTAGAAATCGTATCTTTTTCTAAGGTGTTTATATTTTAATAGGCCTAGCTCCGAATATAATTCCGAACATGCCTCATCGACAACTCCTGCCAAAGCGGGATCTATTTTTAGCACCCACGCATGCGCAGTTGCATTAGGATCTTTCCTAGAAGTCCCCATAAATCCAGTGTCAACACCTCCATTTCTGGAATTTCTCTGCAAGTTTGTCCTTAAGTTTCCTGGCAGTTCTAGTCCCAAAAAATCATAAATGCGAGTAGTTGTTTCATACGGATATTCGGCGAAATCTTCATACTGTACTTCTAAGATCCGCCTTGGAAACATTTCCTGCAGTTTATTTCTAGCGTGAATATCACGTAACATCATGAGGCAAATGTTGCTCGCGAAAAAGTCAGGGTCGAACACCATGCCTTCCGTTAAAGTCATTTTAGCGGACAAAATTTGTCCTCTTGGGTCCCGCAGTAAATGTACGACTTTAAGTCCCGGATTCTCACGTAAAAGAGACTCCACCTGCCACATTCGGGTACGTATAGTTTTTACGACGGTCACATCAGATTGCTTGCACACGTTTTCAATAATGGGGACACATTTACCGTGCCCGAAACCTGTGTTTTTGTTAATGCATTCGTAATATGTGCTATTCTCTAATTTTCTGTGACGTCCCGGCCAAGTAACGAAACTGTGGGATTCTATCATTTGCTGTCCATTTCGTGACGTTTGAATCCGGGATCCGGTTAAGATCTGTAGAGGGATAGCGTGCATCCGGCAATTCAAGAGATCGTTAATTATAGCGATATGTTCCTCATATTCCTTTCCATGTTTCGGTGGATTTCTAGAGGTGAGATAAGAATGGAAATTGAATACATTGCATCAATAATAGTAAATTATACTAGTACTTTACAAAATTAACTTAAATTGAATTAACTTGTCTCTTTCTTTACTCATTTCCTTGGATCTAACATTTACTTTTTATACTACAATGTAGTACTTAATATTAATTGCGCACACTAACATGAACGGGTTTAAGTACGTGTTATTCAACACTCTTCAATGTTTAACTGTACATGTGGAATGACTAGTTACTTTATGTGCAAGACTAAAATAATAAATTACGTACGTGTATGTACCATTAGCGTACATAAGACCTTCTTTTTTCTGGACGGCGTTGTCGTAATTCCATAGCGGCTCGAAGAAATAAAACATTTTGGAATTTTTGTTGAACTGCTCGCCTAGAAAGGAGGACCCGGTTCTATAGTAGGCCAATAGTAGTACGCGGGTTGTCGGGCGTGTTGATGGGGATGCGAAAGTGATTGTGGGAAAAGTACCTGAAATTTATAAATTAATGGTGCAATTATTATGATGATGATGATGATGATGATGATGATGATGTGAGATCTCTTAAATAAAAAGGAAAAAAACGAGGACCATTTTTCTAAATATTATGGATGCGGGGACGGAATTCTCATGTTATTATTATTATTATTATTATTATTATTATTATTATTTGGTATCATTATGCTTCCTACACTTTTGTAGGGGGGAGACCTACAGGTGTAGCAGAAAGGGAGAATACACGCGTACGGAATAAAGGAGGTGGAAAATGTCCACTATGATCCTTCCCCTTTGGTTCCACCACTGCATTACCAGCACCTGTCTCATTGGCCTATATATATATATATATATATATATAAACTTGCGTGTTGATACAGATTTAACAGTAGCTCGTCAACACATCACAGTGGAGTCTCTGGCTTAGTTGTATTCACCATTTAAGCACCAAGCGTAGAGAATAGTGTCTCCAAAGTTCCGTTTATCTTTGATATACAACCTGATTTCCCCGGTATAAGCATTTTTGTGGTAGGGTTTACAGCATGAAGGATCCTCTTTCTACATGCGTCACCATTAATATTACAATTGTGTATAAAATAATCGCGTTGACACACACACGTGCAGGTACCCCCTCCCCCCCCCTTCTCTCTCTCTCCCTCTCTCTCTGACTATAAAACACACACAAACATACACACACGTTAATTTTAATAAATGAGATCTCAAGCTGTCTATTCGAACCGAATAAAAGCACTACCGAACTATCTCACGTAACTATCGCACTGTTTGTATTATTACTATACAGAGTACCCATGTAGTCAGTCCTACCTTTCTGGTAATACAGACTCCATACCAGCACCACCAAAAGCAGTAAACCTGGACAACACAGCACAACAAGTCTCCTCCATCTTCGTAGCATCGTGTCCACCGCCCCACATTCTGAGTCACAGTACATGGCTATCGCTCTGATCTGGACGCAAGAAGAATTGCACTATACGGACGATTTAACACGGTCCGGTGGGAAGTCAACTTGAACGTCGTTTAAGCCCGGAACGATGTTGTTGCCTCGTACGGAATGGTCGCCCTGGTGCATCTGAGCATACCTGAATATGCATATCGAGGCTGACAGGCGGAGATTTTTGATAGCCCATTAAATTCCATTATCTTGATGAAGTAGGCTGCCGAATGGAATGCAATGTTAGCCGTGGTAAGTATCCGGTAGATATTTTTGAGATATTTTAACCTTGTTATTTCTGTTTATATAAATTAAGAAGTGTTAATTGTTACGCACCATGGTACAGGTAATATGTATGTGTACGTTAATGAAAATGAAAGTCGAATGGGGCTAAAATGAACAAAAAAGTTGCCTGCGCCCTGTTTCACAAACATGGCTTTAGCCCAAAAATATACTTGTCAGTAAAAAAATGTAGTCTACTTTCAACCAAGAAAGAACACGTAGCTGTCCATTTAAATGAGACATCCCGACTGTTTTATTACAGAAAAATCTTTGCTGATGATTCAGTCCTATACTTACCTGTACTTTATGTATCTAAACTGTCATGGATCTAACTTGTTGTTAAGTAGATCAAATATATGGTGTGCAAGTTTAGACAAATTTACGAGCTAATGTACATTTGTGAGTCGTACACTTGTGGTTAGAACAACTAAAAATATCTGTATTTGTCACCTCTGTAGCAGACATTGTGTGTTTATGTTGATGTCACAGCAGTAGCGATGTGTCCTCTTCATTGCCATTAACACGTTAGTATATCAGGGAGATCTCTTATTCACATACAGGGTCCGACACGCTGAGTATTTAACTAACCGGGTCACTCGAGCGTCGAGCTTAATTGATAATATGGCGCATGGTAGGTGCTGTGTATTAATTGAGTCAAGGGCCTACCGAACAAGTGATACGAGTACATGATATTTTCTGCTGTAAATATTGTATTGTATTTGTCAGAACTTTTCATTGGTAAATTCAGGATTTTTTTCTTGGGAATGGGCACTTGTTTTTTTGGTTGCTTTATGAGGCAGAAAGGGGTAACCCCGAGGCAAATGGGGCACCCAGTTCATGCACTTTCCATCATTCCTCCATTCCTTTGCGCGGACAACTAAATAGATCTTGTCTTTCAAATGTGTAGGCTACATCCATTAATTTTGGACACTTTATAACACGCATTGTGTAACTGCTAGACTTTTTACACTTACAGGCACGATGAACTAGATAGCAAATGCGGTTATTATAATATATCCTCAGGTTACTTGATGAGTTAAGAAGATGTCAAATACAAGCAGACAAAGGATAAAAATCAACATTATTTGCCAGCTGAATATTTTGGCAAGTGGAATAGCTGATGCATGTAGAATATACCTGCATGCAAATACACGCACGCCCACGCACAGACGTAACGGTACAGTCGGACACACACGCACGAGCACGCACGCGCACACACACACAGAGAGAGAGAGAGAGAGAGAGAGAGAGAGAGAGAGAGAGAACGGTATTTTAACAACAAATAATTTAGATTTCCCTAGCTGATGCTTTTCCATTAATACTTATTAACATAATTAAACGATAGATACGTGTATGTACATGTATTCTAGAAGCAAACTGTACATGTAGGGCGCTAAGCATGACCCATATAAAGCTTGTGCTTTATTTAACGCACAAAGTACTGTGTAAAAAAGCAGATAACTGTATTGCAAGTTGACGGCTCTGATTGAACTATTTGTACAGAAATATTAACAAATGTCTCAGTGGTATTTGCTTGTTCACGGAGTGGGATGTGGAATGAAATACCCTAAAGCTTTTCTAAATTGCAAAAGGGTCTGCTGAGGCTTGCGACTGTATAAGGTACATGCATGTAATTATGTAGGAGATTATACAAATCATTTGTGAAGTCCTTACAAATTTAAAAATATTAGATATCACAGACTTTAGTTACACTACAGAAGCTCTTTCCCCTCTTTTCCTTTCCCTTTCCCTTCTTTTCTGTCCATCTCAACCACACGCACCCTTTCATTTCTCTCCCTCTCAATTCACCATTTCGTGCATCAGAATATGTCATTTGATATAGACAAAAGAAGCATCCTTTAATATATTGGTCATCATTTTCAAGTAGCCCACAGATACGCACCATTATACTCTTATGATAAATTAGGTCGATGTAGTTATTTAACATGTGGGTAGCAAATGGGCAGACTTTTTAATATTAACAGAGATAACATTATCTGGTGTTTACTGAAGAATAAAATGCAGCATTCTTTGTTTGAAGGTGTCATTTGATTTCCGTGCAGCAAAGAGTCCAGTGACACATTTCGGAACTGAAACTGTTTTAATTTAGAGCCGGTACGGGTTTACCTTGCACATGGATCCCGAAACACAGAGGCGCTCTTATGTTATGAAATACATCTTTGAATTAGCACATCTTAATGTTTGAAATACGTGACATGCATTGCACTCCGGCCAAGTCAGTGCCTGCATCTATTTTCATGTCCTAAGTAGGGAATCTGCATACAGTACATTGGTTGTATTTCAGGTCCTATGATCGGTGCACAAGGCGTGCTTTCAGTGTCTGTCGACTTCCCGTAACAAAACAGCAGTACATGCAGACAGAGGACTTTCTTTCATGTCTAAATGGAAGGACAGAGAGAAGTAAAACTAAGATGGAGAAGGAGGATAGGAGGATATAGGAGCAAATATATTGTCTAAAAAAACTTTGAAGTTTGTCAAAAGGATTAATGAGACGATGGTGTTCTTCAACTCAATTTAAAAGGATTTTATTACTTAGGTTTTTTAAGTTTAAAAAAAGCCTGAATGATCCCCAAATGAACTATTGGAGATTGGAAAGTTTTACGTGGATTTCAAAGCACCCAACAGAAACTGAAACTATAGATAATTGGACACAGTTTTTGCGACTTCGATCGATAAACGAGGAGAGAGGAAGATTTTTTTTCCATTTAACTATGCCTTCTTGCAATAGACGATACGCCCTGGTGTTTGGCACTGGCATTATCCTAGTTAGCATGGGCCTAATAGGTACGAAGTGGTCATATTTAGGTAAGTATTCTGGGGTAAACGTTCAAGTATGTCAGCATACGGACTGGGGAAAATTCTGTGTGTGTGTGTGTTTGTGTGTACTCCCCTAATATTGACCAATATCGCACGACACGCACGAACAGAGAGAGAGAGAGAGAGAGAGAGAGAGAGACGGCTCACTTGGCGTCACATTTAAAGCCTGGCGGGCACAAATCGCTTCATTATCTCTGACCCCACTTACAGTGTATTTACAATTTGATACAAATTATCCATCTTTGCGTTATTTTAGGCTTTATGCCGAAACTTCCATCCCTTGGTCCCACCGCCGCCACCAGGACTACAGATAAAGTCATGATACTAGCGTATTACAGGAGTGGGTCATCTTTCTTAGGGGAGCTTTTCAATAATAACCCAAGCATGTTCTACCTCTACGAACCCCTATGGAATTACCAATTCGCTGTGAAGTACCGTCGAAACTTAACGTATTGTAATGGAACTAGCAGGTAAGTTAGAAGTGAAAAAAATCTCTCTCTCTCTCTCTCTCTCTCTCTCTCTCTCTCTCTCTCTCTCACACACACACACACACACACACTTTACGTACAGGCGTACAGGGTATTTACTACTACACTTTAAAAACAAGAAATAGTCAATCTCTCTTCTATCTCTTCTCTTTCTTCTCTCTCATAATCATCACGTCTTATGAAACCAACCCCATAAAGCTCTTCATCACACACTCGGATAAAGCATATTACAGCGTTGAATAAATGAAGACTACGCGTATGACATCAAGTTAAACACTGTTTTATCCTACAGGACAAATATGTACAAAGTTACAGTATTTCATAAATAAATAATAGTCGTAAATTACCAATGCACCGGTATAAAACCGCATTGCTTTACCATAAAAAGCATTTACAGATTACATGTATAACACATGACTTACAAAAGTATATGTATCACATAAACATTTGCTATATGAAGCTAACACCAAAGAATGTCTTAGTAATGCTACAGTGGGCTAAATTCGCAAATTTATAAAACTGTACCGTTGATCCATTCCAGTCCTTGCTAATATAATATGTAGGCATTAAACAAACAATATTACATGTAGTTGTACATGTAAGTTACTACGTCTACTACTGCTACTGTTTATAATAATAATATTAATAATTACAATAAGAATAATAATGTTCTTGTTCATTTTAGGATGCCACCCGTCCATGGTAACGAATTTGCAGAATATACTAAAATATTAGACGATATATTGAACTGCCGAATACGATCTGTACCTCTGGAAGTGAGTACGGCTTCCCGTAAAAACGAGCACGGATTTCTCACTTCTGTCGGCCGTCACAAAACCTTGGAGAGCAGCCCGTACTACAAGTGCCTGAGACAAAACAAAGGGCTTAATGACAGGAATTGCATCCATATCATGGAGGGCGTTTGCAAGGGGTCAAAGGTCAAGGTCATCAAGACGATCCGGTTCGAGATGTGGCAAATGGAGGATCTTCTGCTCAAAAATCCCGGACTTAAAGTTATCCATTTGTTGCGGGATCCCAGAGGGCAAATTACGTCTGTCAAACGTACCCTTTCAAACCCTGACCCCGATGATCTTATCAGCAAGTCATGTATGTTGATGCTACGTAACTTAAACGCTCACCGCAAACTAGATTTAAAATTCCCGGGGCGCATTACGCAAGTGTTTTATGAAGACTTGGCAATATCTCCATTTACGACAGCAAAAATGATATATGATTTTATAGGGATGGAATTACCCAGCGTCATCGAGAAAGCACTCTACGAAAGAACTATGGCAGGGAAAAAAGACAATGGAGTCAGCGGAACTACTCGGAAAAATTCCACATTGACTGCGCATGCGTGGGTTAACAAAATAGACCCAGCGTTTGCTCATTTGATTGACGACATTTGTACGGACCTCCATGATAGGATTGGCGTGATGAAGTTTGACAAATTGCGTGAAAAGTTCAAATTTTAACCGTTTCCAGTAGTTCTATCGCCCAATTACCCCTGTTTATACGTGTATATCTCTTCATCCTGCACTCGATTTATTTCTACAGGTTCCAGGTCGCTTTAGTACTAATGGACAATGTTACAACTTTTTCAATGGACACATTCCCAAAATACAGTCCCATTTTTAAATTCCTGGATATACATGTACTAGTATCAAGGCAATATAGCATCTTGGATATTCGTGAAAAGTTCAAATTTAACTGTTTCTTGTAGTTCTATCGTCCAATTACCACTGTTCATACGTGTATGTCTGTTCCCAACAGACATGCCCATTTTTTTTAATTCCTGGAAACTAGTACCGAGGCATATATAGCATCGATCTACTTATAAATCTAATCAAGTTATGGTAGGTAGCATTATATGTACTGTTCAAACAGTTCACTCATGAACAGTCACATAGTTTCTATCTATTCAAATCTTTTTGACATTTGACATAAATATCAGTATGAATTGAATGGCGGTTGCAAAATTAATGTATTGATATGTGCACTGAACGGAATAAGCCTTCACAAATGCAAGGAGCATTATTCAATGTTGTCAGAACACTTTTTCATACTTATCCTACAGGGAAAACATGTTTTATCGAACGGAGGACGTTTATATTTGCTGAATAGAGACACTGTATGTAAATAAAAAATAAACCTGTATTACAATAATGTCTGCTTCAGCAAATGGAGAAAAAATTACGAGGGATTTAGAAGGAAGTTTAATCTGAATCAATGACACGCTCTTGTGACTGTGGTGCAGATAAAAATTGGCACAAATTCCCCACGGGTATTTCTTTTTCTTTTGAATACGTTCTGTTAGAATCTCAATACTGCACAGAAAAATGTAACGTTTGTATTAATTTGTATCTAAGACGAAATTCTTAGGGAATTAAGTTTTGCAAGATTTGCCCCACCTCACGCTGATTCTCGCACCTTTAGCTGTCTCGCGTGGCGTCGCATTGTTACATAAAGCAAAGGAAAGCAAAGCGAAGTAAATTCTGGTTCGTATAAGTATACTGCATTCCACTACATACAGTAGGCCCCTACATATACCTCTCGATGCGTTTTACAACAGGTAACAATAATAATGATATGTTCGGCATATCTTTTGGCCTTGGTTGAGAGTGGATGCAGACAATAGTTCTGTTTACTTTACACCAGACGGTATACTCTATCGATACAGGTTGTTCCGGTACGCTTTAAGAGGTCCAAACACATTATTACGCTCCTGGGGACTTTAATCCCCTTCAGAAATTCTCCACAAGATCGCCTTTTGTCGAATCTGTCCAGGTGTCTCTTTTATCGTATGTGATATATCTAGTCTATTAGGTTGCCAAACTCACAAAATGTACCAGTAAAAACCGTATCGCTTAAGTATACCGCTTGGTAAGACAGGTTCCGCAGCTATCTTATCACGATTTATAGCGATATTTTTTTCGTCTTTGCCTCCCTGTCAGATTCTAACACCCAAAGCCTTCCAAACACATAACCCAAAAAAGAAATCCAAAATTTCGGCCAAGGTCATCAGCGTGCTGCCCAAAACGAGGCCAAGGGCACCNGTAGGCCCCTACATATACCTCTCGATGCGTTTTACAACAGGTAACAATAATAATGATATGTTCGGCATATCTTTTGGCCTTGGTTGAGAGTGGATGCAGACAAAAGTTCTGTTTACTTTAATACACCAGACGATATACTCTATCGATACAGGTTGTACCGATACGTTTTAAGAGGTCCAAACACATTATTACGCTCTTAATCCCCCTTCACAAATTTTCTGCAACATCGCCTCATGTCGAATCTGTTCAGGTGTCTCTTTTATGGTATGTGATATATCTAGTCTGTTAGGTTGCCACACTCACAAAATGTACAGGTGAAAACCGTATCGCTTAAGTATACCGCTTGATAAGACAGGTTCCGCAGCTATCATATCACGATTTATAGCGATATTCTTTTTCGTCTTTGCCTCCCTGTCAGATTCTAACACCCAAAGCCTTCCAAACACATAACCCAAAAAAGAAATCCAAAATTTCGGCCAAGGTCATCAGCGTGCTGCCCAAAACGAGGCCAAGGGCACCGCCGATGTCCGCCAGTAGTGCCAACGTGCTGTAGGCCTCCTGTTGTACTACCTCCTCGTATGACATATCAGGATAGAATATGAGCACACCGATAAAATCCTCCAGCCTCTCTTGTAACATGTTCCATTCCTGGACATTTTCAAAAGTGCTCTCCGATAGTTTAGTATAGGTTGAACTGGTTTCATACTTGAACGTCTCACACGCAACTTTACAGCCACATTGACGGTGAAGCTGTGATCTGTTCAGGAAGGTCAGTGGGTCCACACAGAGTTTTCGGTCTTTTGGGGAACAATCTCTGAACCCGGGAACATACGGGTAGAATGTTAGACGGCAATTGCAACGCGTTAAGGTGAGGTTGTGCCTGGAATATAAGTTGTCATACATTCCACCATTTTCATATAATAATAATAATTATTATTATTATTATTATTATTATTATTATTATTATTATTATTATTATTATTATAATACACAGGAAGGAATACCGGTAGGCCTACATGTATGTTATAAATGTAATAATGTTAGAAATGATTCAGTACATATAATAAGCACAAATATGTTTTACAAAAGAATATCTCATAATCAGATATGTTTTTGTAAAAAAAAAAAAAAAGATTTATATAGAAGTTACATATATTATACATACAGGCACTCTGTCTGACAGTTTGTTTTACTGTACTTCTTGTAGTAAGCCAGAGGTCTCTCACCACATTTCCCGTGAGGAGGCGGAAGATTCACCAACTGAAAAAAAAAACGTCTAAAATACTATTTACAAAAGTAATTTTACTTTGGAAACTTGTCTTTAAAAATTATTATAACTCCGTTTGGCGTGGTTTGAACAAAAATGACGTTTTTTCCAAAGGAAAAACATAGGAGCCGCAACGTTTAGATTGACATTTGGTCAGTTAGAGTTATTTTTTGTTCCTGATAAACCCATGATATTTATACACGATTTTATTTTAGCTAACTTACAATGAAATCTACATGTAAAGAGTGATCGATAATAAAGTAAAGTACTGATCTATCGCGTTTCCAAAACATGCTTTATGGCAATCAGTCATGCATATAGAAACCAAAAGAGATATTAATTTATCAAGAATATGACCAGGAGATACTGGGCCGTTTGTACTACAGCTATGACACTAATGCAAACACTGCACTGCTCCATCTATGGATATGTCAATTACGGAACTAATCATCAAATGTACTGACGTTTCATTATTCATTAATGATTGAAAGCGGTACAAGAGAGTTCACTTGGTACTGATCAACGTAAGAACGAAACATTGTCACATAGATGTACATACTGAACATGCTCATATAACAATATATGTGACAAAAATGCACATATCAAATTACGATAAGGCCACACGTTTTTATTTTTATGGATGACATCCTCTGGGGACCCCAAAGTCGGTGCGAGCGGGCGAAAAAAAAAAAAAAAACAGTCCAAAAAAAAAAAAAAAAAACTGCTTAAGAAAAGTTATGTTTTCAGTACACAGCTGGAAACACTAATTTACCACAGAAACACGTATCAAACTAACAGCATGTCTTTATCCATGCTCTCAAAATATTAAAGCATTGTGAATAGGGCCTACTTCGTAGAAAGGTAAAAAGTCATGAATATATATGCTGCATATTACCAAATCTATTTAAGGTTATTTCATGCATTCTGTTGGTATAGAAACCAATAAAACAAATATCAAATAAATAGCGTGTCTTTATTTGTACTCTCAGAAAATTAAAGCATTGTAAACACTTCACAGAATTGTTAAAAAAATTAAGCAAAGATAGGCCTATGCTTCCTACTACTAAGGTAATTTCGGTCGATGCCATTTTGTCTACTTCGACTCACACGCTAGCAGCCAACTATCGGGTGGCCTGTCCGACCTTCAGTCCACCAAATACCGCGACGCTCTTGTCGACCCTTTTTTCGCTCCAAAAAGAAACTGGTATGTGCTGCTTTGGACAGAATGTCACTGAAATTTTCCGGGCGATGATTGCTGGCCGCGGCCAGCCTTTCGTAAAATTGTAAAAGGGTGATATCTCCATGTCCAATATCAATGGCAAACCAATCCAAAACGACGGCCCCCGTTCTCTTTATGACTTTAATTGTCGTGTATTTTGAAATTAATGCTAGAGATGAAGTTGACGGCAAAACGGCCATATTTCCATGTGGTGATAATACGCATGCGCAGAAAGCTCATTTTCCACACTCGGAACTACTCGGATGTCTCCGCAGTCGACAATGACAGTATGGAGCTTGCGGAATTAGCAGAGAATTGCCGATTGCATTTTCCGGCAAATTCAATAACGATGTTTGCGACAACCGACTTCCTTTGGGGGGGGGGTTTTTTTTTTTTTTTTTTTTTGAGAACGGACGAAAATCGGTGCGCGCGCAGGATGTCATCCATAAAATTAAAAAAGTGTGGCCTAAGTAGGGAATGTTTCTATTATACGGGTTATTCTAGCTGCCTATATATGGACAGGGTGAGAACTAAAGGTTACACAAAATGTACTTTTAAACTAGCACCAGAGTATAGTTCATCAGCAATTTTCAAAAATAGCGATTACTTTTCGAGACATTTGCTTTTTGTTTACTTTGCTAATTACAGCTTCAGGAACAGTGGCAATGCTTCAAAGTACGTTCAAACATGTGATACTTACATGCTTAAGTTTAAGGGCGATATTAGTAAACCCCCCGGGGGGGATGAGAATCCCTGTATTACCGTCTGGACGGTCCTCTGGGTTATGGAGATTCAGCTGGAAATAAAATAAACAATATGTTAGACCGGTGATATTGGTAATGAGTCTCAAGTTTATATGACCAGAGTCTAGCTTGAAGTGGGAGGTGGACGATTTTACAGCATAAAAACAACAGAGTTATTGTTGTTTGGGCGAGATGAGGGGTGGGGGTGGGGGGGGGGGAAGGACAGGAGGATTGTGAATTTCTCTCACTTACCAAAACAATATTAATGTTATATGTATTTTTTACACCTGCATAAAAATATACGAATAAAGAAGAGATGCAAAAAAAAACAAAAAAACATCTGTCGCTTGTTTATCAGTTTATCCACTAATACTGGATGTGTATGTGGCCAAATTTGCGCTATTTTTATACAGGTAAAACAAACTCCTAGCCCGGCAACCCCAGAACTTTTGGTATGGTAACGTTTAAATAAAGTAATGAGATACCTGGTTAGCACGGTATAAATGGAGACGTGGGATGTCAACTTAAATACATGCCCCTGTCAACACTAATATTTCAGTATATTTCCACAGAACAAACCACCACAACACATCTTCGCATTAAAATTTGACAATAAAACAGCATTGTTACCGACAACCCAGCCAGGTATGAGTGTTTCACGTATTCTTTCCGCGAAACTAGAATGCTGAGACGGAGTCCACCGTACATGCCTTCTGCATCTACATGTAGATGGCTGTCACCTAAAAAGTACATATATGTAAAATTTATGTCCAGACACTGTGAAAACTACTATGCTTTATTATTATTATTATTATTATTATTATTATTATTATTATTATTGCTTTTTGAATGTCTACCAAACAATTCGGAACCCCTTCACATTGCTTGTCGTAACCGACCGGAGGCTTCTTAGAGTGGGAATGGTACGGCAGTGAACATGTTATTCGTTTGCTTTCTTCTAATACTTCAAACAGCATCTGAGAAGCTGAGAACTTCTACCTCCGCATGTAGTAAAGTGTCAGGGCCAAAAATACCCAGCCCTATTGCGGACATAGTCCGACCGGTCATGACCGCTTGATAATTAATTTAGCCAGATATTTTTTTTTAGAATTTTAGTTTTAACTTTTTGAGGAAATACAATCCATATCAATGAATCATTCGTAAACATTCACTAACGGACCTGCACAGAATGTAGAGTGAATGCAGAGCAAGTCTTCTGAACGTTCAGTAATTCTAAAGTTATCCCCATGTCTGCCTATTGTTAGCTGTTGTACAGGGTCAAAATTATCCCAGCCCAATAAAATTAAATAAACAATTTTTAAAAAACTTTTAAGCTATCAAAATAAATACCTGGATCTTTAACTACGATTTCTTATTCAATCACTATAATATAATATAATATAATATAATATAATATAATATAATATAATATAATATAATATTGTTATAGTGAGTTATGACGACAACAGTCTGGAGCTTTCGAACGTTTATTCACCGACACTTTCTTCATACAACTTCACAAATATTTATGCTGAATTTCTCCGTACTGATCACGCATTTACTTGTTTTCTTTTCCATTGTCTTTGCGTGATAACAAAATATTTTCCATTCGCATGTTGCAAGTCACCATGCAACGTTTCCTTATCAGGTAATCCCTAAGAGACTTGTTTTCAATTAAAGATATCTAAAATATTATTTGGATTACTCATGCTTGCACCTTATCCACATCTCAGTTATCATGTGATAAACAGATGATCAAAATTAAAACATATTATGAAATTAATCAATCACATAAACTGTTACTGACTTTGACCTTTTCCATCTTTGTCTGACACTAAAACATATTCTACATGTGTTGACTCTTGATGAAACTTAACTTACACGTAATAACTCTCTATCCTTTTACTCTTTTGAGTCTGTTTTAATTGTTATATGTTAAAAGTGAAAACGTAAGTCATTCGCTTTACAATAATATAATATAATATAATATAATATAATGTGTACCTGAATTAAACTGATAGCATAGCCCTCCCTCCGT